CATGAATACTTGTACAATGTTGTTGTCCAAACAAAGAAGTTGCAGTTGTCTTAAAAATAGTTTTAGAGTCCAGTGGTTTAACTTCCTAATTGTGATCAGCAGGTTGAAATGTTATTGAGAAACATTTTTCTATATGGCCCGGTCGTTGTTTGCATCTGTCAATATATGAGTAAATGTTAACCCAAGCATGATTTTTCTATACCCATGGTGATGACTGATGTTTGAGTGCATACATTTGAAATATTTACTTTATGTGCTTCTGGTCCCTGTTTGAGATCAGTGAGGCACTAAAGGTGTTGATTTCTGAAATCTCAGGATTCCAAGTGAGGTATACAAAATAATCCCAAAAAATAAAACGTTGAAATCAAGAGGAAAGTAATCTTGCCCAAATAAAACTCTGCCGCAGCCTCCTTGGTCACTACCTCTTTTATTAAGGGTCATGACGCACCCATTACACCACATTTTAGTGAGAGGTAATGAATGACTGCATGCTCTGCCTTGTGGTTGCTATGAGTGCATGTGAAGCTGCTTATCCTCACAGATGGCATGTGACAACACATGAGCATTTTCGGTTGGATCGGCATGTGACGAGAGGAGCACAGTGAGGCAGAGGATCTTTGAGAGTGTCCCAACATGGAACACAAATAAAACACCTTCCATTCGACCTCATATCAGGATGCTGCTGGTGTCTTTATTGATTTAGTTTTGTTCAGAGTTCATATTTTTAACTCATTTTGGAGGTTGCGTTAATAATCCTGCATAGAGAGCAGTTGCCTCAGGATAGTTTGGGTCAATATATTGTGCAAGAAGGTTCTGGGCTTGAACTCTTCTTAGGCCAGGGCCTTTCTGTGTAGAGTAAACACGCTCTTTCACGACTTCCTCCTAAAATGCAGTGATAGGTAGTTAGGTAAACTGGGGACTCAAACTTGTCCGTGGGAATGATTCTGAGTGTAAATGGGTATAAGTCCGCTCTGTATAGACTTTTGACCATTCTTTACTTACTGATCTATTTTGCAGTGTATAGATTATGTGTCTATCAACATTCCTTATTACCCAAGTTAACCTCTATAATGTCATTCATCCACATACACAGCATACGGCTGGACGAAATGGAGATTCTCACAGGCCAATCTGCAAAAAAGAAACAGTGCAGTCCCCTTTTCACCTAATAATGTTGATTTAAGGACAAGAGCTGAGTTGTTGCTTTACAATTGTTTAAAAATCTGTCTATAATTATAATACTTTCTGCACTAGAATACTGACTGATTACATGGGCACCAGGGATAATTATGAACCCTAAGAGACCCATTATTAAAAATGTCTAAATTCTGGTATTATTATTAATAAAAAACGATTAAGTACATATCAATTATAGCACAATATAAACTCATCTCCCTCTCTTAGAGAGGGGCCTTGTGCATACATGGCACAAAATCCTTGAATAAATGAACAGAAGGTCAACAGGAGCCCAGTTTTTAACTGAAGGAGCCCTGTTGCAAAGTTATATTAATATTCTTGGTGCACTATAGCTAAGTTTCACGTTTTGATGGACACATACCAGCCAATCAGACATGAGAATTTTCTGTTGCCATGGCAATAATGGTCATAGTTGTGAAGTGCCCTTCGTTAAATTTTCCAGATGATGCTGCTGATATAACCTCTCAACCAGCGATGAGTCAAAATGTCTGCTGTGTAAAAGATGTACCAGTTACACCTGAGTGGGTCTATGGGTCCAAATACCTGCAGAGACATGTTCAAAAAGTTTTTAAATTCACGTTTCATCTAAATTATTTTGTGTACCTGGAAAATAGATGCAGTGATTAGAGAAAGTCGCATAAAGAGGAATTTGACATGTCTGTGCTGTGACATTCCTCATTTACGTTCAAGCATAAGGTTTCCATGAGCATGTAATATCCACATCCATGCAGAGACCAACACCATTTTAACCCAACTCAAAGAGGGTTTAATGGAAAAACTGTCAGAGATGACCCAAAAAAAACCCATGTAACTGACGACCCTGAAGGTAACTGCTGTAATTAAAGCTGTCTGAAGAAGACATGAAGTGGTGAAGACCTCTGTGTACATGCAGTGAAGCAGACGTGTTAAAGTACGGGATGCTCTTCACACATACCTGCTGCCTCTGCCTGACGGTGTTTTGACTCTGCTTGACACTCCAGCATCTGAGGGTGTGACACTCAGGTTGGGTGATATGTCAACATAAAGTACTGTGGGACTATAGTAACTATAAGATAGACCTGTTCCTATTATACTCATGTTTGTGTTAGAATCGTAAGAAATGATATAGGTAAATGAGTGGGACTTCATACTACTGTCATGTATTTGATTCCCTGTAGCTAAGCCAGACATCCCCATGTCTAACTACAGACATTTTCTTAATTGAGTTTCCAGAGAATGTTGTACATTGTAAACCTGTTCGATTTAGAATTGATATTGTTGATCACGTTGGTTAGGCATCAAAACCACATGGCAGAGATGTTGACCCCCATATGAGCCATGCAGCTCACAGCCTTGAGATCTTCAGGTGGGGCCCTTCTGGTCATTCCAAAGTCGATGCTTGAGTTTAAATCTGACCTTGTGTGTGTGTGTGTGTGTGTGTCTTTTTTCCTAAGTAAAGCACATTATGGACACTTGTTTTCTCTATGGGGGCAAATAGCAGGGTTAAGGGTAGGTTAAGTTAAGGTTTAGATTAAGATTAAGATTAGGTTT